GCAGCACAGCCCAGACCTCTTGAAGCTTGGGGGACCGTGAATTGGGCTTTACTGCTCCATTACACTCTCACAGTCTTGGGCCAAAGCAAAGACAGAAGGAAACGGAGTGAAGGCTGATTGGCAGGTGCACACCTGGCAGAGGTGGCAGAGCTCTGCTGCCAGCAACTCCCTGAACTGAGGCCAAGGCACCACGACTCTGGGGTAGGAAAAATTTACAGCACTGTTGACACTTTCCTCTTCCAGCCCTTTGAGCAATCTTATACAATACTTAATCCTGATAATAAACCACCTTTTTATTCTAACTGAGCCATTTTTGCCAGCCACCATGGTACATACCTTTAATCCCAGCACTCAAGATGGAGAGGCAGACAGATCTCTGTGAGTCCTAGGCCAGCCTGGTCTATATAGGGGGTCCCAAGCTTGTCTAAGATCAATTAGCCAGTTGATGGCAGAGATGAATGAAGTTTAAACCCAATATTCTTTAGGATGTGGCCTCCTGCTCCCAAATTCCAGTAGCCTCCTCTCTCAGGACCCTGACCACAGGGAATGTCAAACAAAATCCTATGTATTTCTGTTTTCACTCTGTCGGTGAAAGAGTTGTTTCCACATGAAACTATAACGATGACCTGTGACATCCAACACTGTACAGTTGAGTCCAACAGCCGATACTGAGGACTCACAAATGCTCAAAGCCTGGAGATGAGACACCAAGGCCACACAAGGCCTGTACTTGGGAACAGAGCAAACAACTGTGGCTACAGAAAGCAATGTTCACAATTTCAAGTGTGGAATAGCCTGGTGTGGTGGCACACTCCTTTTATCCCAGCACTCTGAAGGCAGAGTCATGAGGGTCTCTGTTGTGGGATGTCCTTCTGTTCATTGTGAATATGTGTTGCTCCCATTAGTTACTAAATAAACTTGCTTTGGTCTATGGCAAGGCAGGATAAGAGCCAGGCAGGAAATTCAAGCAGAGATACAGGAGAAGAGGGTGGAGTTGAAGGAGACACCATCCAGCCACCCAAGGAACAAGATGCCAGCAGACTGGTAACACTACAGCTATGTGCCAAAATATAGATTAATAGAAATGGGTTAAGTTAAAATGTAATAGCTAGCTAGCAATAAGCCTGAGTCATAGACCAAACAGTTGTAATTAATATTGAGAACTTCAGTCTACAGATCTCTGTGAATTTGGGGCCAGTTTGGTCTACATAGCAAGCTCCAGGACATCCAGGACTAGAGAGAGAGACCCTGTGGTGCTAGGGGGAGAGAGAGAGAGAGAGAGAGAGAGAGAGAGAGAGAGAGAGAGAGAGAGAGAGAGAGATGCTCCCTAGTGCCCATGGGAGGATGTGATTGACTTCTCTGAATAATTTCCCCAGGTGTCAGGAATAACTAGAAACCAGACCTGACCCTTTGATCAGCAGGCTGTTTACCTGGGGCTTACAGGAACATTGTCTATGAGAATGTGGTGGAAAGGAGAAGAAATTTTGAGATTAGAAAAGTCAGATCTAGAGGTTAATAGCACTACTTCTCTTCCAAAGGACCTGGGTTCCATGTCCAGCACCCACATGGCAGCTCACAACCATCTGTAATCCCATTTGGCGCACAGACATACATGCAAGTGAAACACTCATACACATAAAACAAATTTTTAAAAAAGAAAGAAAAGTCCAGGTCCCCCTGATCTTATCAGATGTCAAGTCAATGTATAATATTGAATCTGAATTTTATGTGTTGTACTATTAGAGAAATAATCTGCCTTCCCAGCGAGAAATCACTCTGCACACTTAGCAACTAATAAAGGGGGAAGCTGTTTGATAATAGTGCACGTCCAGCTCTGGCTAATGCCCGAGGAAGAGCTGGCCACAAATAGAAGCCTTGACTAACTTACATACACCTTGGGCTTATGCATTCCACATGTGCTGTCATCCTTACATTTCCTTCAGGTCCTGGGCCCAGTTCACACTTTAAACAACTAAAACAGAAACAGGAGACTCAAGTCTGGCTGCTTGGGCAGACAGGAGACTTACACAAGTTATTGTCAGAACTGTTTCTGAAGTACACCAGTGCCGTTCTTGTTGAATAGTTGTTACCCAGGGTCATCTTGCCCACCTACATTTATTCTAAGAGCACAGGGGACTTGACGGCAGACTAGGATTTGATGGCTGTGACTCTGCGCCGCCCCCTTGAGCTGTCCTTTAGAGACATGTTCTTTGATGTGAGGATGAAACTAATGGCTGGTTATGAGTCGGGATTGTCTCCTTCTGTTATGGGGATGGAGCCTCACTGGAGGTCACTCTCGATGAATAAACAGTAACAAAAACTTTCTTAGCAACTCTAAACTTTAATTATGGTACAAGTGTATCTTTCTCGAAGTTTCTAAGTAGCCTGGTTGGTACACCACCTATCTCCCACTCACAATGGCAACAATACTCCTTTAGCCAAATTCTTTGGGTAACTAAGTATTTCCTACACAAATTTTTTAGTGAATTCTTTATAACATCAATTTTGATACTTCAAGGCTCTCCTGCATCAGTACCAAGGCATACCGGGCAGAACTTGAGATGATGGGAGTTGGCTCAGCAGTTAGGAGCACCTGTTCCTCTTGGAGAAGACTCTGGTTCAATTCCCAGCACCCATAGGGTAATTAACAACAATCTGTAACTCCAGCCCCGGGGAATCTGATGCCCTCTTCTGACCTCCCAAGGGCAAAATTCTCATACACATTTTAAAAGATGATAAATCTTGTTTAATTCTTTTTCTAAAGAAGAGATGATGAGAGGCTGAGAGATGGCTCAACAGTAAGAGCACTGGCTGCTCTTCCAGAGGTCCTGCGTTCAATTCCCAGCAACCACATGGTGGCTCACAACTATCTATAGTGGGATCTGGTGCCCTCTTCTGGTATAAAGTTGTACATGCAGACAGAGCACTCATATGCATAAAATAAATAAAAATCTTAAATAAAAAAAAAGAGATGATGAAAGAAATAGTTAAAGACAGAAATGTTAGCCGGGCAGTGGTGGTGCATGCCTTCAATCCCAGCACCTGGGAGGCAGAGCCAGAAGGATCTCTGTGAGTTCAAGGCCAGCCTGGTCTACAGAGCAAGATCCAGGACAGGCACCAAAACTACACAGAGAAACCCTGTCTGGGGCGGGGGATGGAAGTGTCAGGCAGATGTCTCCCCAGTGTGAATAGGCAGGTGACTTCCTACTGTTTACCAGGCCACCAGAGGTGGGGGTGAGTTGCATGAAGTCAGCCACTCCAGGACTCTTCACAGTAGAAACACATGCCTTTCCTAACATGGCCTCCAAGTACTGGAAGTCACTTTGGCAATGGCCCTTCTTCTCCTGCTTATTTAGGGGTTTGGCATCACAAACTGTCCTCTGGTGCTTCCGGGTCATCAATGACAAAAGGCCATCAGGCATCCTCAGCACTATGCTCTTGCCCCACTACTTCCTCCTGTTGGTGTAACACAGCCTGGGGATTACCATTAAGAAAAAGCAATCTCCGCATTAGCCAATGTTGAACTTCCCCTGGTAATGCAACCCATAACTGTGGTCATTTTCTGGCTTCTTGCTTCTAGGCAATGCCATGGACTTATAACCAATGCCAAATATCTTGGTGTATAGATGACAAGTTATTTGTTTTGCTCCACGCTTAATCTGGGGGTTTGATGTAATCATTCGCATCTTTTCCCCATCATTTCTATAAACATTCCTCCTTCTAGAACTCTAGATTTGCATCCTCTTATGTTCCCATATCCACCTGTTCTTGATTCAGACCCACTTGGTTTATGGTATGACCTCTTACTCCTTTTTTGTGGAGTTAGTCCTAAGTGTTGTAAAATTACTATGATTTTTTTTTACAATTAGGCTGTTAGCAACTTGTCTTGAGTCTCCTCGTTGTTAAAGTTTATTGGCTGTCCTCTCAAGTGCTTAATCGAAATGTCTTTTCTAAGTCTGGACACTCCTAATCCTCGCTTACCTCTATTGACTTAAAAACTTAAACTAGGAGTATAACAATTACTCAAGTTATACTGAGATCCACATGCATTTTCAGAAACATAAATCTTCCATGTTAAAACAAACAGAGCAGATTACCATGGGAACCACTCATGCCAGCTGGCTTTTTAAAGCTATGAGGTGTGTCAGTGTGTGAGAAGGGTGTGCCAATAGAACTGCCTCGGGGAGAACAGTGATACGAAAACCAGTATCACCACAGCTGATCGTTTGTGCATCTTTCTCAAAACTAAAACTTTCTCAAAAAATAAAGCTACTAAGGGCTGGAGAGATGGCTCAGTGGCTCAAGCATTGGCTGCTCTTCCAGAAGACCGGGGTTCAGTTCCCCACATCCACATGGTGATTTACAACCGTCTGCAATTCTGGAATCCAACACCCTCTCTTGATTGGCATCTCAGAGATCTGAACACTAGGGACCTTGTCGTCTTATCCAGGTATTACTTCACTCTGAGCCTCGACGTCCCTATAGAAACAAAGACTGCTGTTGGCTTAGCCAAGGACGACACCTCTCCCAGCACTGACATCCCTGGGCACTCCTGGGAATGCTTTCTGTGCTCCCTAAGCCAGTCAGGGCTGCCAACCTGCCAGTGATCCCTAGTCTGTACCACCCAGCTCCAGGCACGCTTCTTGGAGGACAGGAAGGCTTCTTCTGAAATAGGGCCATTATAGCCATCTTTGGTCCCTCTTGGCTCTAAGGTCCTGTCCCTCTGCCAGAGCTTCTATTTTTAGTATATACTTTTATTTTTAATATGTGTGCGTCTGTGTGAGATAGGTGCACATGAGAGTGCGGTGCCTGTAGAGTCCAGAAGAGGGTGTCACATCCCCTAGAACGGGGTTGCAGGCAATCGTGGGTCACCCAATGTGGGTGCTGGGAACCAAGCCTTGATCCTCTGTGAAAGTAGTTCAGTCTTAACTGCTGAGCCATCTCTAAAGATGCCCTAAAATTAGGAGCTTTATCAATTTTTCCCTCTGTATTCCCAACAGGCCAGTACACACCAGTGTGCAGTACTTACTCAGTCACTGAGGATGTGAGTTCCCAGGAATACAAAGGCCCACTCAGGTTTGGTTCTTTGTTGTTGTTATTGTTCCTTAGCTACAAGAGACAGGACTGACACCCAGTATTCAATAAACATTAAAGGTAGAAAATGTATGTGATGAATAAATGGGTGAGAGGATGAACGCACCCAGAGAAGAGCCATCCCTACTCTCCATCTCTGCTCATCCCTAGAGCCACTAGATTCTGTCCCAAAGTTTATGGCTTTCCTAGTTCTTGATTAGAGAGGGTCTTTTTTAAATGCCAATTTGGGGGCTGGAGAGATGGCTCAGGGGTTAAGAGCATTTGCTGTTCTTAAAGAGGAGCTGGGTTTGCTTCCCAGCACCCACATGGGAGCTCACAGCCATTCATAACTCCAGTTCCATGGAATCCAATGCCTTCTTCTGACCTCCTTGGACACCGGGCACAGACATGAGGTGTGAGCAAAACATGCATACACATAAAATAAATTAAAATAATTAAATCTTTTTTTTATTATTTCAGTGGCAACCTACGAGAGGAGGGAAGGGATCAGCAGGAGTGGGATTGGACATGAGAAGGTCATCAAAGGCAAATATGAGCAAAATGTATTTTATATAAATGTATGAACTGTCATGATGGAATCATTTTGGTGTTTAATTAACACATGCTAATAAAACATTAATGCTATTTTGCACTAAGCTGAGCTATGAGATTGGTAGATTGCCCCAACTGAAGTCAAAAGTTAATGACAAGGATCATGGAGATGCTTCAGTGGGTAAAGGCACTTAATGCCAAGCCTGATGACTTGCATTTGATCCCTGGGTGATGGCCACAGTGAAAACACTTCTGCTAAGCTCAGTGAGAAAGATAATAAGGAGGTGGGGCAAGCAGTGAAAACCGGAAAGATCAGGTCATTTTGACTCTTCCCACAGAGAAGATACTTTGTGGCCAGCCACTCCCTGTGGGGTTTCCCCCCGATTAGGCCATTCCTGGTTTTACGTTTTTTGCTTTTGTCCTGCTACTCAGACTTCCCAGGGTATGATCTCTGCAGGCTGGTAAAGGCATGCTTCTCTTCCAAAATGGAATGTCCGCAGTGGTGCGTAAGGTCTCAGAGTGATGGAAACCAGAACCTTGGACAGAGGCAGACACAGTCCACTTCTCTGGGAGAAGATGGGGAACCCATCTGGGAGATCTCAAATGTCTCCCCACCAACAGCCACTCCAGAAACAGTCTGGGATGAAATATACCCAGGCTTTTCCAGAAATCCCTCAAGGTCTTGGGGAAATGTTTCATTTACTGAGTCCTTAATGGAGGGAACCCAAGCCTTCCACAGGGAGCTGATTTTTGGAAGTCCTAGAAGAAGCCTCACTGGAGAGCAAACTTCTGGCAGTTAGAGCCAAATGCTGCCCTCATAGAAGACCAGGGACCAGGCAGGGATTCTCTGAAGCATTCAACAGAGAACAAATCATGTTCAATGTTTTGGTAAGAATGATGGGCCTCAACAAAATGCACAGATTAAAATATGCTATTGGATAAGTGTTGACAAGCATATGTACACATACACTCATTGTCCCAACAAAACACAGAGTATTTCCATCCCCTCATGTCATTTCCTTCTGTGTCCCCTTGTAATCAGTTTTATGGTCCCAATCCTAGCATTGTTTTGCTGTCCTCCTCTATAGATTCATTTTGTCGCTTCTATAATTTCAGATACATAGAATCACATTTTATATAAACTTTTATATGCAGTTCCTTTACTCAACATGTCATTGAGCCTAATTCATGTTGCCTATATCGAAAGAATGTTAATTTTAGTCAAAAGAATGTTCCTTTTAATCCTAAATAAAATTCCACTGTGTATATATACCATTCTTCATTGATGAACACAAGGATTGTTCCTGCTTTGGATATTCTGAGAAGAGATTTAATAAAAATCTGTCTATGTCCTTTAACATATAAACCTAAGAGATGAGTTGCTGGCCATAGAGTAGGCACATATTTAACTTTATTATAAACTATCAAATGTTTCCAAAGTAACTGTGCAATATTGCACCATATGCATAGTATAGTGACCCTATTGCATCAGCTGTGTGTAAGAGTTCCAGGAACTGGACATGGTGGCACTGATAATTCCAGCACTAGAGAGGCTGAGACAGGAGGATCATGAGTTTAAGGCCATCCTACTACATACCAAGGCTCGCTTGCAGCGCTCAGGAAACGCCTCGGTTTACTTGCCTCGCATGTGTGAGGCTCTGGATTTCATCTCCACAACCACATAGAAAGAAATGCCCACATTCTCAGAAGCATTTCATATTGTTACATCTTAACACTCTAGTGGGTATGGAGTGATAGCTTGTTGTGGATTAAATTTATGTTTTCTGGTGATTAATGATATTGAGTATCTTCTGTAGTTATTGGCCTTCCCTAGATGGTCCTTGGCCAATTTTGAGGTAGGTGTGTGCGTGTCTGTCTGTGTCTTGTCTTCACATGATTGACTTGTAGGCGTTCTTCATATATTGTTACTGTGAGTACACAGTTTGTCTAGGTGTGTGC